TCCGCGACACGAGGCGTGACCGAGACTTGTAGAGAGCATAGCGATATCATTATTTGCCACATCGAAAAAAGATAAGATCTGACGAACTTGGCGCGCCAGCTAGACCAGCACGTGCGGGAACCCGTCTGTCGTTCTCTCTCAGACCCAGGGACGTGATCTCGCCAACTGAGTTGGTGGGCTGAACAGTGCACACTGATGAAGCATTTCACCAAATGTCCCGCCAGTCGGTTTTCCACGGACTTGGTCCATTTTTCCCAAACTGAGGGGGGGGGGGGGCTGGGGCCGAAGCAAGGAGGGCTTAAGCCACCATTCCTTCCAAAGTGAACAGGAAACTACACCTCTGCTCAGAACCGTTGTCCTGCGCGAAGAATTGCCAACGAGCAGTCTATGTTAGTGGAGGAAACTGACGAAATCTTCAGCAAAACTCCGTCTTTGTGAACCCGTGCTTATCACCGCCATCATTTTCACACGCGCTCGTTACATTTTGGAACAATGGCTGTGACGTTCGCAAGAAAGGCACTGGCGCGAAATACCCTCAGAGGTGCAGCCTTGACCTATGCCCCTCTGTCGGTCACGGTTCAGGTGGCTCCAGAGCTTTGTGTGAAAACGGCTCGTGTCCTGCACCGGTCTGTTCTGCGCTCAGTTCTCACATCGTGATAACGACCCACGTGACGTGCCGTCAGGCAGGTCACGTGGCTCAGCTCTCAGACCGTGATGATGACCCACGTGACGTGCTGTTAGGCAGGTTACGTGGCTCAGCTCTCAGACCGTGATAACGACCCACGTGACGTGCTGTTAGGCAGGTTACGTGGCTCAGCTCTCAGACCGTGATGATGACCCACGTGACGTGCTGTTAGGCAGGTCACGTGGCTCAGCTCTCAGACCGTGATGACGGCACACGTGACGTGCTGTTAGGCAGGTTACGTGGCTCAGCTCTCAGACCGTGATGATGACCCACGTGACGTGCTGTTAGGCAGGTCACGTGGCTCAGCTCTCAGACCGTGATGACGGCACACGTGACGTGCTGTTAGGCAGGTTACGTGGCTCAGCTCTCAGACCGTGATGATGACCCACGTGACGTGCTGTTAGGCAGGTTACGTGGCTCAGCTCTCAGAACCGTGATGATGACCCACGTGACGTGCTGTTAGGCAGGTCACGTGGCTCAGCTCTCAGACCGTGATGACGGCACACGTGACGTGCTGTTAGGCAGGTTACGTGGCTCAGCTCTCAGACCGTGATGATGACCCACGTGACGTGCTGTTAGGCAGGTTACGTGGCTCAGCTCTCAGACCGTGATGATGACCCACGTGACGTGCTGTTAGGCAGGTCACGTGGCTCAGCTCTCAGACCGTGATGACGGCACACGTGACGTGCTGTTTAGGCAGGTTACGTGGCTCAGCTCTCAGACCGTGATGAGACCCACGTGACGTGCTGTTAGGCAGGTTACGTGGCTCAGCTCTCAGACCGTGATGATGACCCACGTGACGTGCTGTTAGGCAGGTCACGTGGCTCAGCTCTCAGACCGTGATGACGGCACACGTGACGTGCTGTTAGGCAGGTTACGTGGCTCAGCTCTCAGACCGTGATTGATGACCACGTGACGTGCTGTTAGGCAAGGTTACGTGGCCTCAGCTCTCAGACCGTGATGATGACCCACGTGACGTGCTGTTAGGCAGGTTACGTGGCTCAGCTCTCAGACCGTGATGACGACCCACGTGACGTGCTGTCGGGCAGGTCACGTGGCTCAGCTCTCAGACCGTGATGATGACCCACGTGACGTGCTGTCGGGCAGGTCACGTGGCTCAGACATGTCGGACTTGGTTTCAGAAAATCACAGTTCTTTGCCGAGTATAATGCAGAGCATAACTGCCTAGGATTCAACATACGCAAAAAAGACAGATACGAAGCGGAATCACTGCTGTGTGTACCAAGATGACCTGTGCCGTGTATGTTTGCATTATAAGTCGTTTAGAGCGAAGAGGGGATGTTAAGCAGGGTAGTACAGACGGGGGCGTGTTCGATGACGGCGTTCGTCCGGGATGTGTTCGGTAGGGATGTGAAGCCTCTGGCCGTGGTCCAGTTCTAAAAGTGAGTTTTCCTGCTTGACCCTAGCGCATTAGCCGTGGTGAATCGCACGAACACTGTAAAACGCTGCCAAGTAGACGTCACGGCTTGTGCGTCTCAGATCACGTTCAACATCCTATGCATTAAGGTCTATCATGGACTGAATTCCCAGCAACCGGATTAATATAACCTACCAATTTCATATCTGGTGTACCCGGCAAGACGTAATACAACGAGGGTCTATTCGGTATGGCTCAATGCGCTAAGGCAAAAATGTTTTCAGCCGCGACATCAAGTTTGGATCAGAGGTTACTTAGATGTGAATGTTTACAAGCATGGACAAATTCTCGAACCACTAATCAGCTATCCTGGATTAGTAATCCGTTCAAGTCTATACCACCCCGCATGATTTTTAAAGTGGTTCCATCCTATCTGTTGTACCATACTTTTGACTGCGGGCTATAACTTGAATGAAAGACCAAAATATCAGCCATAAAATTATCTATACTTTGCCAGACATGCCCTCTTCATATGGACTTTCCTGTTCATTTTGTGTATTCTACAATTACCTATCTGAACGCACTGAAGCGCTGAAGATTTTTTCAATCCAAATTGGTCCAGTTGCTGCATTTACCCAAAATCTATGATCTCCAACCCATCCCTGTGCTCTACATTACCGGCAAAGGTCTGTACATTCTGCAGGCACGAATGCTACAGAGACTGCTCTGTCAGTGGATGAGTTTCAATGGATGAGATCCCAAACCTGGCCATGTATATTACGCGGGCGCAAAACTAAGCCTTTCATACTGGGCAGCTTCGCTGTGCAGTGACAACGAGATAGCCCAATGCACGATTCTGCGGCATTTGCTGATCCTCAGAGCCGTGGACCAGCCGTGCATGGTCCGCCACTGATCCTCAGCTGAACGGACGGGATCAGCTTACGGTCCGGATCACGAACCACCCCACATCCGCCCCGCCCCTCGCCGCTGCGCGCGGCCCCACGGTAGGGGAGCGACCGTCAATTAACCTGTCGAGCCGACCGCCGGCGCGGCTCTGGCTCTGGCTCCGGTCGCGGCCCGGCGCCGCGGCCGGAGTCGGCCGCCCCGAACACGGACGGCGTCTGGCGGCGACCCCCGCCGACCCGTGCGCTACTCCGGAAGTCTGGACGTGACCGGCAGGTGTGTGGGGGAGAACGGCGCCTCCCGCGCAGAACAGGAGCTTCTGGAGCGAGCGGTACTCACATAATGACGGACGGTACTGGAAGCCCTCTTTCATAGCAGGCGCCCGCAGAGCCTTTGCTCACCAAAAAACATAAAGTGCAACGCGATGGGCTGTTTTGCTAATTGGCTATGCAGTTTTTTAACACAAATTTCTGAAGTCCGTGGAATCATGTAAATGAGTCCGTGAAGTCATGTAAATTGCATGACAATGGACGCAAGAACCACGCTCAAGAGGCCGGAAATAAGAGTACATATCAATGAGTACAGTCCGCATGTTCAAGGGTGTGAATTCTGCAAAGAATAGTGATGAAGACGCCACGGGGTTATCCAAGCGGACAAGCAGATCTAGGGGCCTCCCGAGCAGATTGTAATCACTCTACCTCATCCTCTATCCAAGTTTTTCCCTGTATTTTACCCATTTTTCAAAAGAACCCCTTGGCAGGGGTGCATTCAGGAAGGCGTTATGGAGGCACATATCCTGTCCCCCCCGTAATCAGAAATATTAATGTAAATAGATGCCAACATCTAAACAGCGCGATAGACGCTTGAAAATAGTTATATTGAGATCACGTAATGCTGTGATATGACATGTAAGATATTTCGCATGCGTACCGCAGACACGCACGCGAACTTTGGGTTTTCATACACAATTCTGAGTTGAAACCAATTGTAAAATGCGGTGTACGCCTCTGCCTTTTGGTCGTGCAAGTGACTAAAGCCTCATCTTAGCCTAGTGGGGGTTTCTGTTTTATCAATCGGAACTTCTCTTGGATTGGCAACACAGGGGTTTCCATGGAGCTTCATATGCATCTAATGAGGCATTCTTTGAATCATCTGGGGCCTCCTGTCATCAACAGGGCCTGATGCAGACGATGCGGGCCCTCCGCGGGCAGATGTGATCTCCGGTGTGCCGTCAGGGCTATTTATGATGTTGTAAATGTTCCGTGTCATCATCAGTGGCCTCATGTTGACCTGGTGGAGCTTCCACTGCAGAGTTTTAAGATGACAACAAGCTATGTTTACCCCGTTGACGAATGGGAAGGGACGGTTGCCTCCTTGTCCCACCCGTCGTGCTTCCGCCACCGCCGAGTGACGAGTAGTTCTCTGTCAAGATCGCATTCACGGAACCGGTGGTTCTGTAAATTTTGCACACCTTGGCAGTTGTTTTCGGCAGGCCTGCTTCATGTCAGCCAGAGGTGCATGAATATAATACGTATATCGGTAAACAATGCATAGAACACAGTGTAATGCTCTGTCACCCGTCGTCTAAAAAGCGACAACCAAGATGAATACAAATTTGTAGTAAGGACTAAAGATATAGAGCAGACACGGCGAGAGCCGGTGCGGCCATTGGTGAGGCAAAACTGTCTGATTGCTCATCTTACGCGGGAAGGAAACAAAAATGAGGCTCATTTTGATGAAATCCGGTACGGTTTTTTCCGTATCTGTCATGCTATAGTCTCTGCTCACGTCACCGGAGAGGCAAAAATCACCGGATTTGCGTTCGGCTAGGTATCTCACGGATTATCTGCAAAGATTCATATCTCGGAAGAAATCTAGCGGACTGGCGGTATCATGCGGTAACATCCAGTTCATAACAAGCAGTTCAGCAGCCTAGCCTTGTTTCTTCAGAGTTCTGGCATAAAGAAAACATGGTGGCAACCCACGCGCTCAACTGCGAGCGGGCCGGAAGTTGCACACTTCCGATCCACTTACCGTAACGTCGAGCCACGTCGCCGCCCACCCGATCTGATGACGTCACCGGCGCGACCCCAGGAGATGCGCGAGGATGACCACGAGGCGCTGTCACGTCCGCAACGAAAAGCACGCCTTGAGCGGGCAGGAACAGGCTATTGAATGAAAACAAAGTCGTCGTCGTTGTCGACACCTGTCTGTGCTCAACGGTCGGACACTGCCGAGCAGTCACGCTGGGACGTTCGAGCGAGCGCGCCCGAACCCGCGCAGGGCATCAGACATGCACCCTTGCGGAGTCTCCTGCCCTGCGCTGAGACCCCAGCGCACTGTTCCAAACACCGCCCGGTGTCCAGCTCCGCGCCGGCGGCAACACCGTGAGTATGACGGGCTACAGTTTGATGGGCCGCGGTCTGACGGACCACGTCCGCCTCCCGTCCTCAGCACGGTCTCCACGAGTCAAGAGCCCTCTTCGCCGCGAAGCTGTCCGACCTGCTGCAAGGGCCGCCAGTGC